TAGGGGCTGGACAGACGAGGCAACCTCGACAGAAATAATCTGCCCCTGCCATGGTACGCGGGTGAGCGGGCGCTGAGGTTTAGTGAGTTAACGGGAAACGCTGGCTTGCAGTTTAGTGCAGGTCTAAGCCAACGCGTTTCTGGACTTCGACCCACAAGCTCAGAATCGTGTTGGTCTCGCTTCTGGCTGAGCGTTAGACGCTCCCCGCCGCCCTAGCGACAGCCTCTCGTGGTTTTTTTCTCCTCCAACAAAAGATAATGCAATTTTGCAGTCTTGACTGTGTCCGTGACAAGAGTAACACGTTCAAAAGGACGGTGGTCACCGTGTTCCCCTCGCGGCAGTGACGTGTCCGGCTGCTTTGCCTGAGGAAGGCAAACGGTCAGCTGCCGTGCTGGCACGCGGGCCGGGTGCTGTAGCAGGGGGTCTTTGGAAAACAGCCACAACTGATTGTCGGGTGGGAGAGTTTCTGCTCGAAGGTTAGATCAGATCAGAAAAGATTAAACCCCTCGCTGCAAAAAAAGGGAAACTGAAGTCTGAAGCTGTAAATGTAACTAGGAGTGTCTTTAGGGAAGAGAAACCAAATGCTTCGGCTTTTCCTGTTCTCGAAAGAGCAAGGGATGCTTAATTTTTCTGACGAGTATTCAAAACAAGTGTACTTACACTTGGTGCCCCGTCTTCTTCCAGGACTTTTGCAAGCAGGCAGTGGCAATTAACATTTTAAATACTGATTCTTTCCAGGTCTTGATTTGCTCTCCCAGGGAGTCACGGAAAGAGACGACCCTTCTTCATCCCCCTCCCCCTGATTTCTGGGTGATAATCTCTGTAAAAGCCGCTAAATAGTTTTTACATGAATCCTGTTTTTAGTTGCGCCGTTGTACTCTATGGAATACTTACGAAATAGAGACTGTCGCGCTTCTTGTGTTACAGAACGCAAGAACCTCTTCCAGGGAATGGGACACTCCCTCTAGGACCGAGTGTCTTTGGCTGCCTTTCATCTTTGTAATGCTCTTAATCAGCTGGTAAGATCTCCTTGAAGTGCGCAGGACACTTCACACCTCTGAGAATACCAAGGTTTTTTGGAAGCAGTTCTCGCTTACGCAAACTCTGCGCTGCCCCATCGGTTCTGCTGGTACAGCTGCTTCTGAAGCCATGTGGGGAACCAGCAAAAAATGGATATTTTTAACCCAGATCGGTTTCCTGATCTTGTTCATTCTGTGGCTGGGCAGCTGGGGGAAGAAAGGATGTTGCTTCATCAAACTTTGCTAACGGTACTCTGAAATCCAGGCAGGTGCAGGAGGTTGCGGGAGGAATTTGCTGTGTGTTTTTGGCTATCAACCAAGGTATCTGTACGCCCCTTGGTCAGGTGCTGCTTTGCGAGGAGCCGCAGAAAGTATCAGAGCGCGTCTGACAGCCAGGAGCACCTTCCCTGTGCTTGGAGAACTCGCGTCCCCCCAGAAGGAGTGGGCAGCTGCTGCAGGGAATGGAAACGGAGGTTCTTTACTTGCTGTCTTAGGGTCACTGTGACTGCGCTTAATGAAAATGTCCAGATCTCAGACGCAGGCCACGTCTTTGGTTTCACCTGACGATCCTGTTACGTGTCTGCACTCCAAGCAAATATGATCACAGTTGCACGTAGTCTAACGATGTGAGAGGAATGCTTTGGTTCCAATGGTGTTACGGCTACCCAAAGAGAAGCATCGCTGCTTCAGGCCGGCATAAAATGTAACGTTGCCAAAACAGTTGCTTGGTCTTATGGGAAATGTTTCCTTTGCGTTTAAAAAGATGAATTCAGGTTTGGGGTCTGATTTTTGGGGGGAAGGTGGGTGGGGAATTAATACAGAAGTAAGGTTGCCCAGCAATATCTTCTGGAAAAAAAAGTTCTGAAGAAAAAAAAACCCAAACACCCAAAAGTCAAAAAAATTAAAGAGTTAAGATACACGTTATTCCTTCCACCTCATTCTCTACCTTGTCCCAAGCAGCCTTAATGATGTTCTTTCACGCCGCTGTTGAAGAGCGCTCTGTTTTCTGAACCTTTTTCAGTAGATTTTACTCCTGCCTGTGCTGCATTTAATCACTTGTCCCTGTAAGAGCGTGGCACCCGTTCTTCAGAGCAGCCTTGCCCCTCACTACAGTAGTCTCGGTACGACTTAACCACGTGTATCTCTAGCTCGTGTTTATCTCTAGCTTTACTGATGATGGCTCTTGAGACGAGAAGGTCCGAGAGCCCTGTTTGTGGCACAGCCGTGATGGATAGCAGAGCGGGTCTCTTCGGTGCGTGTGCAGGCTTCCCAGGGAACAGGCACGGGAGCCTGGGAGAGGGGCTCATCCTTCCGTGTCCCCAGTGGGGCGCTGGGCTTCCCGCTTGCCCTGTGTCCCAGGTCCCTGCTGATCTGCTCGGACTCATTCCCCAGTGCTGTGATGCCTCTCCGGGGAAGCGCAGTTCGTGTGCTGAGAGGTGAAACCTGTTGTCTTGTCTCAGCTCCTGGGGAGGTCCTTCTCTTAGAGTTTCTGATCTTCCGGGCCTTTGTTTTTTGCTGAATCCCATCTTCTGGACTTAGAAGCGGTGCCACGGAGCTGTTCTGGTAACACCGTGTTAAAGTTCTTGTTTCCCTCTGTATTTGCTTTTGCAAAGGAAACGTAAAGACAGCTGGAGCACAGTGCAGGACGTGTCCCTTAATTGCGTGCATTCATTTAAAAACAGGCCCACAACCAAATCTGTACGTCAGAATCTCTCAAAGTTTCAAAACAGTTTGGTATTGGGAATTATACATGAAGGCATCTCTTCTCAAACTGCTCACAGGCCGTTCCTGCGGTGTGTGTTATTCACATGCTCTCTGAGGAGGGAAGCAGATTGCGGAGCGGAGCTCTTGGCTGTTTGCAGTGACAGCGATGAGCGGAGTTTGGGTTGTGTCGATCAGGCGCGTGCTTCTCTTGCCTGCACGCAGTCTCACGTACTCCCGTGTAAGGTGTATTGTGTTAGCATTTTCCTGTCTTTGCACTTAGCACCCTCATGTCCACAGCGTTTAAAGAAGATTAGCTTGGGTTCTTGTTCCTTAAATTCTGGTATATATCAAAGCTCTTTGGAGCTGG